GTTAGAGAACAGAAGTTCCTACTTAGGTTTGCAAGACCTCGCAAAGTCACTTCCTGCATGGCATGGTGGTTATTGTATGAGGGCTCAGCAAGTTTTTGTCGCCTTGCTAATCTAGAACTCTTTTCTGTGGTATTCATTATAATCAACAGATTATCCCACTGGGCACAAGCTGACCTCTCTTTCAAGATCTAGGCTGTCTGTACATTCCATTTTTTTGGTCCATAAAATGGGGATGACAGCAGTGGGTACTCTCAGGATTATTGTAGAGACCTTGTGTGGTCTTAGATGAGTGTTAGGCTGACTGCCATCAGGACATAGTATTCAGTACAAGGTTTTATCTGTGGGCTGGCTTAGAATACACCAGGAGACTCAGGGCTCGCTGCCCCGGGCAGTTATGAAAATGACGGTTCCCGGGTAAACTGACTTTATTCAAAAGGCAAATAAAAACAGATTTGGGGTTGTCCTTATTCCTTCTTCCCTCTCACTGTATAAAAGAGCTTTCCTTCTAAGGACATATTTTTTACAAGGTGGCTCAAAAGAGGGATGTGAAAGTTTCAGAAAAATAAATATATAAGCTCCTACTGGCCTGTACAACCGTCATATGCTGTTAGCAAGTTACAACTGTTCACTAATTAACTACAGCAAACTGTTGAGCTCCCTGCTGGGATTTATTTTATGAAGTCAACATGTTATCTCTTCAACTTGGCGTAAAATAATTTGTCCCCACCACTACGTTGGAGAAATGCATTAAATTGCCTGGAGAGAAAAATCAGTGTGTTGCAGCTGCCACCTTGTGGCTTTATGTATTATATTAGTCCTCAGAAATCAGATAAGTATTTTCTACCCTAACGACCAGTTTCTAAAATACACCAACAATTTGAGTATAGATTTTTCTAGCATTATTAAAAATTCCCCAAGTTGCACAAAGGACTCTGAACTAATTTCTTGGCAACATTTTACTGCCTTGTGAGGGTTGAAATCAGGTAAGAGTTCACATAAGATCTAAGTCATATTAGCTCTCAGTCCCACAAGATGTCAGTTACACATGTGATGTATGCTTCTGTGTGTTCACCAAACATTTTTGAAATTAAAAAAATTCTCATGTGTAAATTAGATGTGCTAAATAACTTATGAGCTACTCATGAAATGGAGCATATAATCCCATTAAAAATACAGAACTGGAGAAAAATTTTGGAGGATTTTTTTCCATGCAAATAATTCTATAATCTTTTTGAAAGGTAACACAGAGTAGGGGTTAAGTACAACCCTGGGACCTGGGATCAAATATCCCACTTTGATTAATTATTAGTTATGTGAAGTTGGGTATATGACAGAATAGCTGAGTATCATTTACTCGTCCGCAAAGGTGGATCAGCTCAATGGTACATAACTCACAGGGCTGTTGTGAAGATTGACTGGAGCTTTTCGAGCAGTATGGGTCAGACCGGGGAAGGGTGGTCAATGTTCTGGGTAGCCATCATTACGATGGCATGAGTCAAATTAGTTGTTTTGCTGGCGATTAGCCTTCCCCCTTCAAAGTATATGTGGATATAGGAAAGGAAGCGAGCTGAATATTCGGTGACTGGGGTAGATTTGGGGAGTCATTAGCACCGCTCTCCTTTCTGGTACGCCTACCTTTGAAGTCAGGTGCGGCCACATGACTTGCTTCGGCACCGAACGTGTAAGAAAAAAAACTTCAGGGTGTAAGTTCCGAGTTTTGGTACATGATTCATCATTTTCCCCATCCCCCACCTTGCTGGTCATGGTAGCATGTGTCACGATGATGCTCCTTCAGCCTGGGTCCCAAAGTGATTATACCCCCCTTCAATGATGAGCAGAGCCCCATAGACCCAGATGAACATACTGTTTGGGCAAGAAAAAACTTCAGTTGTGGCAACGCACTGAAAATTTGGAATCTTATCATCATCTAATTTATCCCATTTAAAAAAATACTTAGCTTCCTGTGGTCTTCCGGCAGGTAACCTTGCTCTCAAGCTGAGAGGGGTCCTTCCCCTCAGTCTGCTTCACAGCAGAGACCCGGGATGTGGTTGCGTCCTGACAGCCAGCAAAGGACACCACAGAGGCTCTGGAGCCAATCTGTCCATGACTTGGAGCTCCACCACTTAGCAATTAGTTGAATGACTGAGCAGTTGATTTAACCTGTATACAATAGCGGTACTGGGGCATATCTGTTCCAGTTACTGAACCTGTGTAAGAAATGGTGTCACACCTCCATTTATTACATTGAAGGAATTATGAATCGGGAATTGAACATAGCATGCAGGGATGGTTTATCCCACGACTGAGGCCTCAGCTGAAGACTCAGAGTAGGTGCTGGAAGTTTAGTCACATACCTGGTAATTGATGTTGGCTGTTGATGGAGACCTCGGTGCGTGCCGTCAGCCCTGACTCTCACATGGGGCCTCTCCCGGGGCCTGGGCTTCCTTATAACGCATCAAGAGAGAGCGAGCCTAAGTCGAATCACCTTTTGTGACCCTGCGTCAGACGTCACGGCATCACTTCTACTGCATTCAGCTGGTCAAGGCCATCTTGAAATCCTGCCCAGGCCCAAGAAGGGAACTAGACTGCCTCCTCATAGGAGTAGCTAGGGTCTGGAAGAGTTTGAGGGACCAGAAATACTGCGGCGGCCATATTTAGAAAACAGGATCTGCCACATTCCTCAGAGTGCGGGTAAACTCACTGAGTTAGCACAACGTACTCAGAACAGTTAGTAGTTACGTGCTTGGTGTTCGTGACTGATCCCCTGTACAGATCTAGAATCCTATGGAACCACCTTTCTGTGGCCAGCTCTTCCTTCTCCTGGGGACAAAAGCCGAGGATCTGTTCTCTCAGACTCCAGACCAGACTCTGACAACCCCAAGACGGGAGGAATGAAGGAGCACCCTCTACCCCCACAGCCTCAACGAGACCTTCCCTCAACAGTCTGACACCAGTCGGCTCAGGCTGAGAGTTCCCTTTCATCATTCCCCTGTAGAGGACTTAATAAGCTTTGCAGCCTGTTTAACCAAGATCACAGACTTGCCTAAGTACAACTGTGCCTTTATAGCAAGAGATCTGCGAGAAGATGTTGGAAGCAGTGGTAGATCTTGGGTGGTTTCTCTTTTTCTACGCAATCTCTCATGTCCCAAACTCCAAGTACCGGTCTCAGTATGTATGAAAGCAAGTGAAACAGACCTCTGAAGGGGTACATCAGCCCCTAGGGGACCTGGGCAAAACTGAAACAGCAAATAGGAGCGAAAAAAACTTCTAGTTTCTGGTGAGGGACTGACTGGGTTATCTGTTGCTAGCAGTGCTGTGTGGATTATAAAGTACCTGTGTCCTTAGCCCTGAGTCACTGGTATCAGGGTAGGCCAGGCAAACAGGCTTGGCCGGTACCTAACTGTTGAGTCATGCGTGGATGCCCCAGAGGTTGCCATTTCTTCAACCTTCTATAATTTTTGTTGTGAAAGAGGCAAAGGTTATACCACATGCCAAGAACCTTCCCTGGAGCTTGTGCATCTGTTTGACATCCAACGAGTTGCTGTAGTTAGGGTTGACCTGCAGGACTAAATTCACGCCTAGGAAGCTGGCCGCACCAGCTACCTCTCCTGTCAGGTGGTATTGTGTACGCCAGCTCTCACTCACAGAAGTTAAAACTCTAGGGACCAAATTCCGACGCTCAAAAACTAGCGGTTCATGGTTTACGGCACCCCTTACTCCTGCGTGTATGCTGCCGAGTCACTACGCCCTCGTTTCCCTCGAACTTTTGGTGTCCCTTAGCTTGGCAGGCTGTGCCTAGGCCAGGAATAGGTTTGCCTGGAGCCCAGTCATGCTAGGTGTGAGCACTGGGAGCACCTGCAAATACAGGATTGTCACTGAGTCACCCAGTATTAACTCAGGACATTTCCTCAGCTTTCCAGAGATGTTTGAAGATTGTAAGTGAGGGCCTGTTGCCTCAGACAGTCCCCATCTTCCAACTTCCCAGCTCAATTCCTGGCCTTCTTGCTCTTCCCATCAAGCAGTTTAAGATTTTATTAATTAGAGAGTACATGTACAAGCAGGGGGAGCAGCAGGCAGAGGGAGAAGCAGGGTTCCCACTGAACGAGGACCCCGGGATCATGACCTGAACCAAAGGCAGAGGCTTAACTGACTGAGCCACTCAGGCACCCCCATCAAGCATTTTATGTTGACCTGCATGCCAGCACTTACCTCTTCAAAAGTTGCTACTAAATGGGATCCATCTTTATAACGTATTTCAAAATGTTATCCCTAAACTACCAGTGAGCATTCAACTGAGAATCTTCTACTCATTCATTGAATGTTTCCTTGTTATACTCTTTCTCGCTTAGGCTTAGAATGCTTTCTCCTTTCATCACAAATGCTTGGTTTGAGTTGTTTCTCTACAACAGGGCTCTACAAACTAGGGCCCACAGGCCAAATCCAGCCCACTGCCTGAGCTTACAAACTCTGGAACACAGCCATCCCCACTTGTTTGCCTATTGGCTCTGGTTTTTACACTCCAGTCGTGGAGTCCAGCAGTTCCAACAGATGTCTGCAAAGCTTGCAATCCTACTGCCCCTTGAGAGTCCGCTGACCTCTGGCCTAGAACAGTAGTTGCAGAAGAGGTGTTGGCACCACAGAAAACAGAAAGTAAGAATTGCTATTTTATAAAATAGAGCTGTTATGGCAGCCTACGATGGGGATGGATGGCCTCGGCACAGCAGAGGCCGTCTGGCCAGCTGCTGGGAATACAGAAAGGCCAGAGGGAGGCCGGGAGAAGGCCACACTAAGAGGAGGCCGGGATGGGAAGGGAGCCATGTTGGCACAGGGCCCAAGTCTTCTAAAGCAGCCTTAGAGCAGCTGCTAACGCCTGCAAACATCAGCCAGCTCCCCCCTTGCCCAGGCTCACTCTCTACCTTACTGGTAAACAGTAAAAGCCGTTCAGTTTCCAGTTACCTCTACTGAAGGGGCTGCGTGAGCAGAAGCAACTACAGCAATGGTTCTGATTTAAGACTTTTATTTTTTTTCATGCCCAACGGGCCTGAGTGGTTGATGCTTCCGCTCCCCTTCCTATCCTGGAGCCCCCAACCCTTCACAAGAGGAGCGTGTCCTTGCAGGGCTGAGTGCAGAGGGCCCCTAGGCTTTGGCAGCTGCCTTGTAATGGGCCAGAGTGCGGGCCGAAGGGTCGGTGGCGTTGATCCACCTTGGCATCCAGTAATGCGTCAGCCAGTCGGCCCGGCCGGGGTAGTGGCGCTCAAAGATCTGACGGTAGTAATAGCCTTCTTTGGTTTTAGGAGTGTTGAAGGGAAATTTTTGGGCTGCTGCTGCCATCATTGCATCATCAACCTAGAAGAGCATAAAAACAAAATGTTTTTTTAGACGGCATAGAAACCCTTATATTGAATGTGGCTTCATGGCAACAACCAAAGATATGAAAAGGCATGACTGTAATTGCCCAAGAGACCCTTTGAATCACCCTTCACTTAGAACATTTTATATTCTAAAATATAATTTTAGAACATTTTATATTCTAAAATACCAGAATATACACAGCTGCTGTGACTTTTAAAGAACATTTTTGTGAATGTCTATAACAGAGGGTAGCTCTGAGTTTTATTCTTTCATGCCTATTAATGTCTGACCCCCAGCAGGTATGCAGTGACGTGGTAAATGAAGGTCAGTGATAACGGGTAAGTCTCTCGCTCTTTCAATTCTAGATGTTACTACATAATCCTTCATGCTATCTGAATCTTATGAAATTCTTACAAAAGCATTGTTTACTGAGAATTTCTCCAACACACAAAACATTTAAACTAAACACAAAATGAACAGCGATTACAATTCTATTTCCACATCGTCCTCTTCCAGACAATATACATATATTTTTAAAGATTTCATTTATTTATCTGATAGAGATTACAAGTAGTCAGAGAGGCAGGCAGGGAGAGAGGAGGAAGCAGGCTCCCTGCCGAGCAGAGAGCTCGATGTGGGGCTCGATCCCACATCCCGAAGGCAGAGGCTTTAACCCACTGAGCCACCCAGGCACCCCCCAGACAATATTTTTAAAGACATTATACCTGGTGTTCAATATAGTCCTGTAAAATCCTAAACCAGGAATTCTTAACTGAGGTTATTCCATCACTGAAGGCTTCTTTTGGCCGCCAGAGAATGTCTTTAGGTATCAGATTGGAGTCCTCAAAGGTCTCTCTCAGGAGATGTTTTTCTATCCCATTCTGACATGAAAACAAAGGAATGTTAGTAAAAGTTCCGAATATATTTGATATCAATGGACAGTTTTTTATCTTGGATTGATTCACCTACCTTAGGAATCCTCATATCTGGTGGCAGAGACAAGTAATAGGAAGAAAATCGATGATCCAGGAAAGGGACTCTCAATTCAAGGCTTAAAGGAAAAAAGAAAATCTAAATCAAAATGGAGAGTTACTGCCTGTCTGTTCAGATTGTCCTTGAGAGTTTCTTGGCAATTCAACCAGCCTCTAAGTAAGATAAGTCACGTTATGACTTATGTTATCATGTCATGTCATCTTATGTTAAGACGATAAAGTCATTTTTGCAGTCCTGATTATCCTACACTACTGCGTGAACACAAAAATCTTCATTCAAAAAGGGATGCTTACTATCTAGGGAGTGAGGCAAACTGACAATAATTTGACTTTCCCTTCTACAAACAACTAAGTGCACATCTCAAAAAGCAGAAAAAGGCAAGAATCATGAGTGACCAGATCACTGAGAATGTACTTTTCCTATACCTTTCTGCCTCAACATCTTTTATAGGTGAGCCCATCTCTCATCTTACTAAAAACAGTAAGAATTCAAAATTGTTGACTACTAAATAACTCGTTTTCATACAACATTCAATATAAACCACCGATCTATAGTGTTTCATCAAAGGCTGCATTATGTTTCCTGAATCCTGGTGACTCTGGTTAAGACAAATGGATATGATAATAACCACGGATTCAGTTCATTCCCCACACCGTATTTTACTATTTCCCAACCTCAGTGTGATTTGGTAGAAGCAACTAAGACATTTGATGTCAGTTTTCTATCATGTACAGTACAAGTCTTGAATTCTCCAACATGACTAGCTAAAAAGCGACAACTTTAGGCATCCAGAAATGGTCTCAGAGAAACCTGTTGGAATCCAATCAGCCCTCTTGGATCTTCACCACCCTGTGACCACACAGCATCCAACAGGCACTCAACACTTGTTTCATGGGGGTGTGTAATTTTTACTTCTCTTAAAAAGGCTTAGAAAGAGGGGCATCTGCCTTCCCTCTCCATTCAGATGGCAGTGGAGTGGAGCTGTGTTTAAAGGCAGAAAGTCTGTCTAAACCTACAGTCCCCTCATCAGAACCACAGTAACACTCTGAATGAGAAGAGCTTCACTTTCTCTGAAAAGTCCTACTTTGCAACATATAACCAACTGAAAGAAACAATCAGCCACCGAGCTGTTTGATTTTTGAGGCTATCTTTACGACTGCTTCTCAGCTACTGAGTTACCCGTGGGCAGCAGTGGTGCGGTCTGCCCGGAGCACATCGAACAAGTAGAGTTCCTTCAGAAGCCTCTCACTCTCCTCCTCGGCTTTTTCAGGAGAAGGAGCCTGTTTGACAAACAAGCAGGTGAAGTTACAAATACACCAACAGCTTGGCTTTGTGCACACGGAACAGCCTGTGTTTCTCTCTCTTTCCCACATTTCTGCTCTAAGCATGGTAAGACAAAAAGCTACTCAAGGTCTGGGGAAGGGAGTCTATGCTTGCTACACCAGGTGTGCTACTCCCTTCACACCAAATGGTTGATGTCAGGCAATTAAACGGACACTGTGGGCAATAACCATGCTGCCGCACGATAGTAAGAAATATCACAACTGTGATTCTCATGCTCAACCGTCCTGAAGAATGCATCTTTATCTGACTCCAGGAAGACCTCTTTCTCCCCTGACAAAGCAGACAGGATCTGGTCTCCTCATCTACATCACAAGACACTCAAGTGTTAGGGCTACAGTGACAAGAGGGGACAGCACGCAGTCAAACAGTTCACTTTTCCTAGCTTCGCACCAATATCCCTCCATTTCAGAATGCTTACCTTGTGGAAATATATGTAACCCTGCGTCAGCTCATCTGAGCCTTCCCCGGAGAAGATCACCACGCTATCTGTGTTCTTACGAATGTACTTGGAAACTAAGTACATACCTTGGAAGAGAGAGACAAATTGTTCAACATCAACATAACTCTCCACCAAAAATGCGTTCTGTTTGGCTTATAGAAGCTACTGAGTTTTACTTAGAGTAAACTCTGTATTTATAAACTGGCTTCCAAAATAACGACTTTTTATCTATAAGCCATTTTAATGTACCTAATGTAGAATTTGTACTGTTGCCATGAAATAGCCCAAAACCATTCTAGAATTATTTGCATTTATTCTTAAGTACTTTGTTTTAAACTATTGTTTGAAATAATCTCTTAACCCTTATACCTTTTTTTTTAGTATTAAAAATGTTTTTGAGGGGCGCCTGGGTGGCTCAGTTGGTTAAGCGACTGCCTTCAGCTGGGTCATGATCCTGGAATCCTGGGATCAGGTCCTGCATCGGGCTCCCTGCTCAGCGGTGAGTCTGCTTTGCCCCCTGACCTCTCCCCTCTCATGCTCTCTCTCTCTCTCTCTCTCTCTCTCTCATTCTCGCTCCCAACTAAATAAAATCTTAAGAAAAAAAATTTTTTTAATGTCCTAAAATACCTTACCTACTGAAGCACGAACGGTCGTAATATCATAAGTTTCCAAGGAAAATATGACTTCATCCAAGACCTGAATGCCTTCCTCAGAATTAAAGAGGACTTCATGGTGTTCACTCCCAATGTGATTTGCCACCTGATTATTTAAGAAACATCCATATACTTGTGACTTAAAAGAACTGCCTTTGAGAAGGAAACATGACAGTAGTTCACAACACAGTAAGTTAACAACAGTGAAAAACAAACCAGGCAAAATAGGAGGCAATGATTCTCTAGGCTACCGTATACAAGGTTCCCCAGTCAGGTTTCCTGGTCTCCTCCAGTCTCTGCCATGACTCAACTAAGAGGCAGACAGCCCATCAGCTCTTCGCGCTCCAACACTTCCACCTAACTGTCCAGAGTACTGTACAGGTAGTGTGCTCTACACCCCTAAGAGACCCCCCTCCTTTCTCTCTAGTCTGACAGGGCCCCACTATAACCTTGGCCCTCACTGGCCCTCCAGTAATGTTTTATATTACATTCAGGATATTATTCCTAAAGGAAATGCCACCCTCCCCTTCTTTTTTCTTTGGCTATTTTGGATTCTTTCAGCATTGATCAGCTTGCTTTGAGACTGCATTCTAGCTCTTTCTCTTCCAGACTAGGAAAAAGGTCTCCTGAACACTGAATATGTATGTACAAGGTCCCCCCTGCCCATAATCCTAACACACAATGCTTTGTTATTAAAAAAAAAAAAAAAAAAAAAAGCTAACATTTATAGGGCACTAACTACATGCTGTGTTCTATCCTATGCATTTTAGATGAATTACATCATTTTCACCACAAAACTATCCCACAGTAGATACTATTACTCCCATTACACAAATGAGTAATTACATGGTGGAAGTAGGATTTGAAACCAGTGGTCAGGCTCCAGAGCGTGCAGTCCTAACCACTATACCATGCCCTTATGTTCAAGAAGAATTATTATCGTTAGGTTTTTATGAGGCCTGCATGGGCCTTGGTAGAATTATCTAGAGGACAGCGTGCAACACTGCTGATATTCAACAGGCATTTCATTCCATTTTAATATATTTAAATTTAACATAATTACCTGAGTCAATACAGGAGCATAAGCACAGAATCATTAATTATGGGCCTGATAGTTATGCTAACATGTCTGTCTGAATTACATAATGGGCAGAGACGGTGTCTTACCTTCCTAGCAGCCAGTAAATCAGTACTGTCTTCCATGCCAATTGCAAATGTCTGGAGAGGGTACTGAACATGGGCCTCTTTTAGCTGCTTTAACAGAGTGGCAGCAACCAAACTGGAATCTAAGCCCCCTGTGAGCGAGACCGGAAGTACACGGGTTACGTGCCTTGCGAAGAGGAGCAGGTAGGATTTACAATCCTGTGAAGCCCCAAGATGAGAGTTTTGCCATTTAAAATCCCCAAGTTTTATAAACTGAAAATCAACTTTAATCAAAGAAAACAATCTAATATATATAACCCGAGATAATGGTTGCAGTATATGAATTGTTAAAAAAAAAAAAATCACTAGACACGACGCTGAAGAATGTTTATTAGCTCGCTCATCCCAGTAATTGTAATGTAAGCAAACGTTGCTGTATTAGTGTGAATATTAAATGCAGCTTATGGAAAACATTTTCATCCTCTAATGGAGAGAAAGATTAAATCCTCAATATTCTATCGTCAAAACCTCAGGGATGGCTACAAATCATTTACTTAAATACGCATTCAGTATAGTTAGGCGTTTTAACAGCCTTCACCTGATAAAAGGCAGCCAATCCTTCGGTCTGTCATCAAGCGTTTCTTGATGGCATTGTCAAAAAGGATCCGCAGGTTGTTCTTCACGGTTTCTATCTCAAAACCTACAATCACATAAAGTAAGTAAACGGTTCCAGAAAATCTTGGGCTGAATTATTTACTGAAATGAGGTACACACTCATCTTATCTATCATGATAACATGTGCTCAACTGGGGACTTTGCCAAAGCCCAGTGCGCCACATCCACATGAAATAGGAAATAGCTCTTCACACATGACCCGTTCTAGTGACAGGAAAGTATCATTTCCGCTGGGCGTTTGCTCTAGTACCTGGGAACAGTTTCTCCACGTTGTCGTAGAGGGCATGCAGAGGTTCATCTCTACAGTGATGGTATTTGACCATTTCCACGGAGGCAACTTTGCCATTGGGCTTTAAATCCAAAACTTCATAGTGTCCCGGGAGAAAAGGCTCCACTTTTAAAAAAGGAGTTGTGGAGTGCTTCAGGTTAACAAGGCCTACAAATTCCAAAAGAGAATTTTACTCATGCTACAATTCACACTAACTCTCACAGGTAACTTACTGTCCTCTAAATTCCTATTTCCCTTTTTTGTACAAACACATGTCCATTATATCAGCAAAACGGGAAAATTAACTCAATGATACTATCTACTTACAAGAGAGGTCACAGTGGTACAGAGATGTTGAGCAAGGCTACACTGATTTCTAGGATTTCAGAGCAATAGGAAAATCTCCAATGTTCCCTTTCTTCTCCCTAGCTGAAATTTCAGATCAAGAAAATCTATTTTCCATAATAAATTAAGTATAAAAACAAAAGATACACTAAGCAAGGAGAGGGACTTGAAATTATTCATTTTACGATATCCTGGCTGTCATTTCTTTGAGGTATTTTAAGAAAACAGTTGTGGTTCCTGGACCTTTGACAAGCAAATAAATCCAGTATGAGGTACTTTAAAGTTGGGCATTAAGTCAGGCATCTACCCCTTTACTAGTTATTATATACTGTGTATTAACAGTATAATCTAAATTTCCTCAATAAGTTTTCATAGTGAGTAACCTAATTGACACCACCACGATCTCTGATACATAATCGATGTTTTGTTGTAAATAGGAACAGCCTATCAAATGCTCATTATGATTTACAATTTGAGTGTGTCAGCCCAGTAATCTGTCATACTGAATTCAAAGACCAGACTGGACCCAGATCCCATCACTAGCCAGGAGACTGCAACAGAGTCATACAACCCCTATGGGAGGTGAGGAGTTAATTAAAAAGTTTTAACCAGGGAATACCATGAACAGATTAATTTTAGATACATTATTCTAAAAGCACTGACAAATAGTCTCTGGAAAACCTCTGGAATGCCCACCATGGGATTTGCAAATATGATCTAGAGGGAAACACAAAACCAGAGCAATAATGAAACCCTACAGAAAAATTCTCTAATTACCTTTAGCTTCTGAACACACGGCCAAAAATCCATCTTCCGTCATTGCTTTAAACAAAGGCCTGACTCCGTAAGTATCTCTGCCCAGGAACACTTTCTTAGTGGCAGTATCCAGTAAAATGAATGCAAACACCCCATCCAACATACTAACTGTTTGCTCAATTCCTCCTTTGTCATATAGGTGAAGGATTATCTCACCATCCACTTTGGTCTGGTATTCAAATTCAAAATGTTGTTGCAGCTTTGAAAAACAGCAGCAAAACCAACATGTTAGAATCTGTGTGCATTCACAAATAGTTTTTCACTGCAAAGTTGGTTCAGTATTTCTACGTTCTAGAAGCATGCACTTCAGTGATGTAGAAGAATCATGGCATTACCAAAATATAACTTGTTTGAAGTCACAATTCTGCAAATTCTTTGTAACATAAAGCTAAACCCGTGCAAATTTTAGTTGCATTCTGATGAAGGCAATGTATCCAAAGAGTCATGCGTGGACAGATAAAAAGTCACCTTAGATATATGCTATGTCTGTAATACATATATATTTATATGTAAGTTGAAGCAAATAGGTTGCCCCCAGTTGCCATGACACTAAAAATGTGCTTCCACACTGTAATACTTTGACTTTGGAATAGAGTATCAGCTAAAGTTTTTCCAGTTCAGTCTCCAAGACCTGCCTATGAAAATGGAAAGCAAAAGGACAAATGGGCATCTGGGTGGCTCAGTAGGTTAAGCGTCTGCCTTTGGCCTAGGGTCCTGGGATGGAGCCCCATGTTAGGTTCCCTGCTAAGCAGGAAATTTGATTCTCCCTCTACCTCGGCTCCTCCCCCTGCTTGTGCATGCTCTCTTTCTTTCTCTCTCCCTCTCTGTCAAATAAGTAAGTAAAAATTTTTTTTTTTTTTAAAGGACAAACATAATCTGTATGATCCCCGGCAAACAGATGATTCCATCACAATGATAAAGACACATTATCTAAACACACCTGCTGGCCCCCAGGGGAGGACCGTGATATTCAGTCCTCCTACCACTGCAGTGGCATTAAAGCTACTTCTCACTGAGAGACAAAATGACAGGGGCACATTAGAAGCCCACATGCCCCAAAGGCACAGCAAAGTGACAGTCACGATCACACCGAGTGCACAGGGAGAGGGTTTAATTACAGGACACCCGGACCCTGTGGCTCTCCATCACCACTGTAAACCATGAGGGTGAAGTCCCTGGAGTTGCTCTTTCTGTGAACTTACTCCTATTTTTGGCTGACAGTGGAGAGAGAAGAGGTTCACATTAACAAAATGAGGTGGAAATCCTGGGTACATTTTGATATTTAAAACATATTTCTAAAATGCATAAAGTTAATTTATGTTTGTCTACATATGACCTATAAACATGCTTCACAATTACACACACTCTAGGATTTATGAAACTGTCTCTGGGCACTCACAGAATGACCCCCAAAATGGGCTTTGGCTGCCTCCAGGGACTACAGAGCCACTTCCTGTTGACCTCCCCCTACTCTGAGAGACTCTAAGGGGAGACCCTGGCACTAGCAGGTGGGGCTTGGAAAGCAGTCTTCTGTGGACCCTTCTGGGCTTAGGCATCTGAAGGATGAGTATACCCTAAAGCAGTCAGTGATTTTGGTGAGCAACGGCTTCCCCCAATCTATCCCACCACTGCCACCAAGTCAGCACTGCTCCTGAGCTAAACCCTGCAGGGAAGTTATTGCTTAATGACTCCCAGGTGCCACTTTCCAGTCTCCTGAAAAAAAACACTCGGGTAAAAGCTGCATGGAGATAAAAGCCCCCGTTCTCTTGTCCCCCACACAGGTATCACACTGCCCTCCAACTTGCTGTTTGCAAGCCCCTTATGCTCCCCGCAGAGACTCCTCCCTGCCCCAGCCTCTACTCAGAGTCCTCCTCTCCTTCATTTATTCTTCCTCCATGCCCAGCACACCTCCAGCTGTCTTTTATTAGCAAGAGTAAATTTTCTTTTTGTTATAAATAAATAAATAAATGGAGGGACTTTGGAGTTTCCATTGCAGCAGACTTCACATAAACCAAAAATGGCCATCCTCCTCTTTTGTCAAATTTCTGGCTGCTCACGCTGCATACACTTAGATGACTAGTAGAAGTAATGGAATGTCTATGCTTTTGAAAAGACAACATATTTGATGAATTTAGAATAAAAATACTTTTGAAATACCATTTTCTAACTTCTAAATAAAATATGTAAAAGCAGAAATGTTGTTCAAGTTAAACAAGGTATTTCCTATGTCATTTAAGGTGAAAGGTTAATAGTGCCATAACCCAACCCAGCATTCTCATGTATATGGTACTAACTTGGCTTAGTAAGAAAGAAGTCTTAACTGTTCCTTCCTGTACTCTCACTGCTGTGAAATCCATTCTTACTTTTCCTGTTCACCATTTCATCTCCAAGCACCTAGAAAAATGATGCCTGTGTATAATATGCTCTTAAGAAATGTATGAAAGGAATCTGCTGAGTTAACTATAAAAACTTCTCTAATGAGAAGCCTATTAAGAGTAGAGTATTCTGGGCTCCTGGGTGGCTCAGTTGGATAAGCAACTATCTTCAGCTCAGGTTATGATCCTGGGGTCCCGGGATCGAGTCCCGCATCAGGCTCCCTGCTCAGTGGGGAGTCTGCTTCTCCCTCTAACCCTCCCACATCTAGTGCTCTCTCTCTCTCTCTCAAATAAATAAATAAAATCTTAAAAAAAAAAAAGTAGATTATTCTTATAAGCAGACAACAATGGCAAAAGCCACTGTCCAGAGATAAAAACATCCAAAGGGTGACTAGAATGTAAATCCTTATCTGTGAATGATTGACATGACATAACAAGACTCAAAAAATACCAAGAAACAGTGTGAATGATGTCTGGCTTCAAACAAAACAAAGCAACTATAAAGATGTTCTTGGCAGAGGTGTTTGGGTGGCTCAGTGGGTTAAGCATCTAGACTCTTGATTTCGGCTCAGGTTATGATGTCAGGGTTGTGAGATCAAGCCTCATATGGGGTTCCTTGCTGGGCAAGGAATCTGCTTAAGATTGTCTCTCTCCCTCTGCCCTTCCTCTACTCTCCCTCGCCACAAAAATAAAAAATTAAAAAAAAAAAAGATATTCTTGGCCAACTTGCAGTAATTTAATATGAACTGAGTATTAAATGATATTATTGATTCTTAGGTTTAACAGTATTGGTGTTAGGTAGAGGAATGCCCTAATTTTGAAGAGATAAGTGCTTATATATTTAGGAGTAAAGTATCACAATATCTGTAGCATACTAACATGATTCAGCCAAAAATTTAATGCCTAGGTGTATATACAGAAAGAGAAAAATAAGTCAAATAGGGCAAAACATTAATAGTTATACAATCTAGGTTCTCACTTTTGGGGTTTTTTAATATATGTTTGAAATTCTCAAAAATAAAAGCTGGGGAGGAGGGTGGCAAACAAAAAATTACTTGGAAATTTTAGATTTAAAATATGTATGAAACACTAGCCAAATAATTCCAGATTGGAAAGCTCTTAGCCAATGTGGCTTCCTGGGGTCAGAATGTCCCCCCCTCTTACCACTCTCATCCTGAGTAAGCTTTCCCCAGATTAGAAAGCTGTTCCAATTTTAATGCAGCTAGAAAATCACTTCCCGCACTCTTTCCTCTGGCCACCCTTCTGTCTTGCCATTCTATTTAAGTGCAGTATGCAGACGTAATAAATATCATTAAGGGCAGCCTCATATAAAAGCTACAAGGATGATGACCTCTCAACTACTGAACTGTATACTTGCCCTAAAATCCTCCTGTCTCACAGCTCTTAGAATGATATTCTAACTCCTTAGCAAGTCCTGCTTGATCGGGTCCTGTCCACCCTCCCAACCCCACCTTGCCCACCTTACTCCTTGTTCACATCTGACAATCCCAGGGCTGCTTCCTTCCTCAGACTTCTATACATGCTATTCCCTCTGCATGAGAAGTTCCTCCCAGCCCCCCAGCTGATCATGGTGCATCAGGTATCGGTTCAGGTGGCAGTTCCTCCAGAGGTCTTCTCTGATCACTGGATCTCCCCTATCATCCATATTTTCAGAATATCAGTCATAGGTACAGGGATTTTTTTCTTTGCTTTTTAATGGAATAAGCTCCATCAGAGTGCAGAACTACCTCTCATACCTACTATTGTATCCCCAGCACCAAACACAGGCTCTGATTAATATTCAAATTCATAATAGGAAAAAAAAGTGCTGAGAGTTAAAGAATTGTAATCCTCATTTGTGTGTGTGTGTGTCCAACTCATTTGACCTCTTGGGTCCCAGTGCATCATCTTTATAATTGGAGCAAATGAGATAATGAACATGGAAATTGTTGGAGAAGTAAAAAGCTTTACATGAAGTACATAAAAGTTATAACCAACTAGCTCTGAGGTTTAATCACATCCAGATACCTTCTGGTTTTGTTTTATGTACCTTCTTGTGGTTGTAGATTTCACCGTTGTAACAGAGCCACAGATAAGGATATTTCTTTACTCGAATTGGCTGCATTCCAAACAGCTGATCAACCACTGCCAACCGATGAAATCCAAAGCAGCAGTTGGTGTATCCATTAACATTCTCAAAACGAAATGCATCTGGACCCCTGTGTGCAATCTTCATAGCACTCAGGCACTGCACAGAAAGGCAGTCATCACTGCCAAAGAGGGCCCAAATCCCACACATGGTGCAATGGGGTTATGGGCTTTCTATGGAGAAAAGAGCAGGCCAGTTAAATATTCAATACCCAGTCCAAGTCTGTATTAAATCTTGATTCCAAAAACTGGTATAAACCACTTCAAAGACTGACATTTAAACTCTCTCGTCTACAGATTTTTCTGTATTTTTCCATTAGGTTGGCAGGCACAGAGGAGTTGAGAATGATTTAATTTACATACAAGTATTCAGAAAAGACGCATGATCTTTCTCTCCAGCAGTAGCAGTCTGGCACCCTGTCAATGCCTGCAACTCTCTCACCTTGGAATTTGGCCAGCTAGAGCTTGGGGGAGCCAGGCCACACTCGAGGTTTACTTCCAAAGGACAGATACACATGCGGGCTGGCTCTAACCTAGTGAGAGATCCCCAAGCCACTCTCTCCATCTCAGAACCTCAGAAGCCCTCAAAACTCCAAGAGACTCCCCAAATTACTAATACAGTCCTCTCTCGGGTCTCTTTGACAATTAAACGTCCTGTCTTTACCTATACCAACTGCACATCGAGTCTAGCGGGTAAAAAAGATCATACATATTGCTCAAGTGTTATGTTAAGATATACAACCATTATAAGCATTTCACAACTTCTTGCTTACCTCTAAGTGATTTACTCAAACGTGATGAAAGAAATTCTAAAGAGAAAAAAGAAAGGCATGTTGTCTGATATCAGATATCTTGGCTGTATAACAAAAAGCATTTTAAGTTGACAGAAATACATAATGTCCACCATCCAAATGTCCTAAATGACACAAATGTTCTCAAGTATTTTGTCTTAAAGTTGTCTTGGTTCATAGGAAAGCAAAGCAGGTAGGACACAAACACCAACATCTCTGAAAAACAACGTGGCAATCCCTATAGGCCAAGAAGCAAACAATTCCTACGGACGTTTCCTTGCAACTTCATATTCTCAACTGTGAAATAAAGGGCCATTTTATTTGGCTGCTGCCAGCTCAAAACAGTTATTTTACCAAAATATCTCACACTTAGAAACTTATTTGGGTATCTTTACTGCAAATTTGCAGCAAACCTAATTTGGGACAAAAATTCTCGAGAAAATATATACATATATTCAAGTTACATCAGTCACTTTGGGCAATCCTCTCAGGGTGTTTGCATCTAAATGAACCAAAGCTTTGTTTAGCTTTCTAATGAGACCACATCAAACTAACAAAAATTAATAGTGACTCAAACAACTTGGAAATGTCCTATGCAGTCCCCTCCATGCACTTTGCCAAATAGGCTCTAATAAGACATTTGAGAAATTCACTTAGATTTAAGTGAGATGACTACTGATAAGCCATGTATCTTTTCCTCTATACCAGTTAAAAATGGGCTGAGAAATTGCTTTGAAAATCACAAGAGGTCATTAGTGAATCATTTACCAGTCTTCCTAATGCCACTTAGCGAATCCCATTATTAAACCTGCATAAGGAACACACACTAAGCGCTAAAACAGAGGGGAAAGAAGGGAAACACACATTAGTGAAGCACACTTACCTTTCCCAGCAGGAAAGAGCACATTAAAACTATTACCTATTTTTGTTGGACTTGGGCTTACGTGCAAAGGTCCTACTTGCAATGCTTTTTCCTACTGCTATGACCTGTTCCCTGTAATTTTCTGCACTTCCTCATAAACTTTTAGAACAGTGCCGCCCAGAAATGTAAGCCAATATGGAATCGTAAAAATACCAGTAGGCCCATTAAAAAAGTAAAGAGAAAAAGGGAAGATAACTTTAAATATATTTTAACACAATGCACCAAAAAGCTATTTCAATATAATCAGTATAACAAATTATTGACAAGATACTTTACATTGCCTTTATTAAGTCGTCAACATCTGGTGTGTTTTACACTTACACACATGAATTCGGGCAAGTCAGCATTTCAAGTTCTTGATAGTTACATGTGGACTGAATTGGACAGTGCTGCTTCCGTGCATTTGATTTCCATGCTGCTTACCAACTAAAAACTTCATCATATTGTTTTATTTTACATTAAGGTATCAGCAACCAACTCCTGCACAAGTTCAAGACTTAAGTTACTTTTAATTAATCTTACAGTAATGTGGCCAATCAATGGAAAAAAGAGTTATGAGTGCTTTTAAATTGTTAAGTCAAGGCACCCAGGACAATGGCCCATGAAGGAATAATGTAGGCCAAGGGCCCAGCAGAAAACTGTCTTTTTCTTCAAAATAATAACATTAATCTGAAACCAGCCCTACAGAATAGATACCATTGAGAAAGAAATGTTAGTTCTTTTGCTTTTTTCCATACCGCTCCGCCCGTCGCCCTGAACAGATCTCTCCTAGGTGGGGTTGGTTCATCAAATCACTTGTTGAGTCTTGCAGTCTGGGTAGGAGGATGGGGAAAGGAGAGGGGAGCCAAAAGGTGTGGGAAGCCAGAGGTGAGGGGCTAAGTGCAGACCCTTAGGCTTTGACGGACGCTGGGAGACCCGGACCAAGAGACTGCGCGAAACTCCAACTGAGCTCCAGCCACGTGCACCCTCTGGCGGGTCCACCGCAGCGCGCCCGGACTGCGAAAATTTCCACAGGCTTCCACGCAATATAATAATAATAATAAAAAATGTAAGAATTTATAAGGGCCAAAGTGGGCCGCAGCCCAGCCTCCCCGCCGTCTTTCACTTGATCCCTCCCTCGGAAGACCTAGATCCTAGTCTTTCCTCCCAGCTAGCTCCCAGGTGCGCAACAATCAGCCCCGCCCCCTTTACCGGCTGGAGCCGCAGCGCGGGCAGACGCCTGCATCCGCTTCTGCCCTCCGGTGTGCAAGCGAGGCCGCAGCGTCACCTCCTCCTCTCTCTTTCCCTCCCCCTTTCCTTCCAGGGGCGGCCCTGGGGCACGCTGGGAGGGCGCTGCGCTGGGCGGTAGAGCCTGGCTTACCTGGGCTCGGACGGAGAGAACAGCGGGGAGATGCCAGGTAGAGGCTGCAGATGGCGGGCGGGGCGGCGGGCTTCCTGTGACTTTATACGGGCCTCGCTCCTGTAATGCTTGCGGGAAGTTTCATCATGTCTGTGAGGACCAACCAGCGCGAAGGGGCGTGGCCCACAATGCCAGACCTTGGCTGGGCGGAGGAGGAGCGGGGACCAAGGAGGAACTGCGTCTTTCCAGCTCCTTAAAGTGTTAGTGCACCTGCTGAAGGATAGCCTCAGAGGTCCAGCCAGGTGCCCCACTGACACCTAGGACCAGGACCTTACCTGCAGTCCTGACAATTAGGGGGTCTTCTGCACTTGGTTCGTTCTTGGGGAAATCATCACTAAATTGATTGCAGCAACCCCTCTGCAGCAGATCTCCCTCATATCGTTAATTACAAAGTTTTTAGGCATTCAGGTATCAACTGCTTTTCTAAAGTTCATGGTATGCCACCTTGCTTTTACAAAAGACCACATTAGTACCTGTTTTCGCTACCTGAAAGAAATCCAAAGAGGATTTTTTTCTTTGGGGGAAAAGGCGAGAAGGGAAAATAGCGTTCAGCATTTAGTTTGCAGCCAGCCAGAACAGAGGCACCGTGGATGGAACGGCAAGGAGAGCACCGAGGCGTTCCTTCCCCAGAACTACACTCAGAGTCAAGGGGCTGTAGCCTTGAGCAACGTCTATGGGCATCCGTGCTTTATCTGTTCATTTTGTGCATTCATTAGCAGGATGTGTCCTTAGGTATCAGAAAGGCCTAAGAGAGGTTATTTTGGGGTCTGAGAAAACTCAAATTTTCCATGTAAATTCATAACTGCTTCTTCATTTTATGTCATTTCGGCCTATCAAATGTTTTCCTAGCAATGCTCTACTTTGAGATAACAGGGAAACCTGTACTTTAGTTTCTCCTTAACTACTAAGAGAGCATCTGATACATACATGTGGATAAAGAAATACCTGTTCTATTAATAAATAAGGGGGCAGACGGGAAGAGCTGGAAGGATATCTTTTTATTAACTACTATGTAGATTTCACTATGTCTTCTACCTCAGACATAATTTCTCCTTCCTCTGGACACACAGCTCAGTGTATTTATTTTGTGCTGGATCATCGTTAGACTTGTGATGTGGTTATATTCTCCTTCTACTGGATTGCCACCTTCCTGGTGGCACCTGACTTCACCTTTGAGTCTCATCATCAGCTCAATGGATACCACTAGGTAGATTCTCAAACCTGTATTCGGTTCAATTTGATTCCTCCTCCTATTTTGTCATTGACAAATGTCACTTTCTGGAAAGGATGGAATTCCAGTCTGAATTATACCACTAACTTCTTCTATGACCATAGGCATGTCCTATAACCTCTCTGGGTTTCCATCTTTGAAAGGAAGTTAGAGATTACCGGGGTCATTCCAGCCCTGAAATTCTAAACACTAAAGTGATGAGCATTCTTTAGAGCCATAGCACCCAAGAAGGAAATTTTTTTCATTCCACACAACATCAATCTGTCTTTTTGAAACTCAAAATAACTTTGCAATCTGGACCTTTTTATATTACACCAGTTAGAATTATCCAAATTCACCCACCTGATACTTGGAGATCCAGGATGTGAAATTGGGTTTGCCTGGATCCACAAGACGTGCTCTTCTAATCATATTCTGCCTGTGGATGAGATTAACAAGAAGAGCTGGCTCATACCAGAGACACTGACAGAAGGGCAAGGAGCTGACATAGCCTCTCTTATTTTTGCTAAACATGAATGACTTATATTCAGGATTAAATACACTTTTTCCACATTTCATCCCCACTCCTATATTGGGTCATTACCTTTTTTCCTTTTTATTTTCTGCACTGAGAGTTTGAAAGGGAAAACTCTATTTAATTTATTTTTTTAAAGATTTTATTTATTTATTTGACAGACAGAGATCACAGGTAGGCAGAGAGGCAGGCAGAGAGAGGAAGTGAAGCAGGCTCCCTGCCGAGCAGGGAGCCCGATGCGGGGCTCCATCCCAGGACCCCGGGATCATGACCCGAGCCGAAGGCAGAGGCTTTAACCCACTAAGCCACCCAGAAGCCCCGGGAAACTCTATTTTAAAGGCATCATTGAATTGGTACCAGTATTGCCCTCAGATTTGTTATGCAGTACAGGGAAAGACTTGTCCTCAGAAACCGTTTTTTTTTCTTTTATTTTTTTAGTGTAAGTTTTTATTTTAATTCCAGTTAGCTAACATACAGTGTTATTTCAGGTGTGTAATATAGTAATTCAACACTTCCCTACATCACTCTATGCTTGTCATGACCAGTGTACTCCTTAATCCCTAACATCTACTTACTCCATCCTCCCACCCACTTTCCCTCTGGTAACCATCAAATTGTTCTTTGGCCCAGTGATGGGTATTAAGGAGGGCACGTATTGCATGGAGCACTGGGTGTTATATATAAACAATGAATCTTGGAACACTACGTCAAAAACTAATGATGTGTACTGTATGGTGACTAACATAACATAATAAAAATAATAATTTTTTAAAAAAGAATTTCTTTCTTGCTTTGTCTCTCCATCTCTCTCATTTTTTCCCTTGCTTCTTAAATTCCACATATAAGTGAAATCACATGGAATTTGTCTTTCTCTCTCACTTAACATAATACTCTCTAACGCCATCCAGGTCTTTGCAAACCACAAGATGTCATTCTTTTTCATGGCTGAATAGTATTCCATTGTATACATACCACATCTTCCTTATCCATTCATCAGTCTATGGACAGTTGGGCTGCTTCCATATCTTGGCTATTATGAATAATGCTTCTTTAGACATAGGAGTGTATGTATCCCTTTGAGTTCTTGTATTCTTTGGGTGAATACTCAGTAGTGTGATTGCTAGATCATAGAGTAGTTCTATTTTTAACTTGTTGAGGAATGTCCATACCATTATCCACAGTAGCTGTACCAGTTTGCCTACTCACCAATAGTGTATGAGTGTTCCTTTTTCTCCATATCCTTGCCAACACCTGTTATTTCTTGTGTTGTTGATTTTAGCCATTCTGACAGGTGTGAAGTGGTATCTCGTGGTTTTGATTTACATTTCCCTGATGATAAGTGATGATGAATACCTTTTCATGTCTTTTGGTTATCTGGATGTTTTCTTTGGAGAAACATCTGTTAATCTCTTCTGCCCATTTTTAATTGGATTATTTGGTTTTTGGGTGTTGAGTTGTATAAGTTCTTTACATATCTTGGGTACTAACCCCTTTAATGGATACGTCATTTGCAGATATCTTCTCTCATTCCATAGGCTTCCCTTGGTTTATTGCTTCCCTCACTGTGCAGAAGCTTTTCATTTTTATGTAGTCCCAATAGTTTATTTTTGCTTTTGTTTCCCTTGCCTCAGGAGACCTATCTTGAAAGAAGTTGCTATGGCCTATGTCAAAGAAATTACTACTGGTGTTCTCTTCTAGGATTTTTATGGTTTCACGTCTCATATTTAGGTCTTTAATCCATTTTGATTTTATTTTTGTGTATGGTGTAAGAAAGTGATCCAGTCTCTTTCTTTTGCATGCTACTGTCCAGTTTTCCCAACACCATTTGTTGAAAAGACTGTACTTTTCCCATTGAATATTTTGTTTTGTTGAAGATTAATTGACCATATAGTTGTGAGTTTATTTCTGGATTTTCTGTTCTATTCTATTGATCTATGTGTCTATGTTTGTGCCAATACCATACTGTTTTGACTACTACAGCCTTGAAATATAACTTGAAGTCCAGAATTGTGATGCCTTCAGTTTTGCTTTTCTTTTTCAAGGTTCTTTTTGCTCTTTGGGATATTTTGTGGTTCCATATAAATTTTAAGATTGAGGGGCACCTGGGTGGCTCAGTTGGCTAAGTGGCTGCCTTCAGTTGAGGTCATGATTCCAGGGTCCTGGGATCAAGCCCCACATTGGGCTCCCTGCTCGGTGGGGAGCCTGCTTCTCCCTCTCCCTCTGCCCGAAGCTCTCCCTGCTTGTGCTCACTCTCTCTCTCTCTCTTCATCAAATAAATAAATAAAATCTTTAAAAAAATTTTTAAGATTGTTTTAGTTCTGTGAAAAATGCTGTTGGTATTTTGATAGGGATTGCATTAAATGCATAGATTGCTTTGGGTAGCATAGACATTTTAACAACATTTGTTCTTCCAAACCATGAGCATGGAGTATCTTCCCATTTTTGTGTCATCTTTTATTTCTTTCATCAGTGTTTTATAGTTTTCTTAGTACAGGTATTTCACTTCTTTGGTTAGGTTTAGTTCTAGGTATCTTATTATTTTAGTCCTAGGTATCTATTATAAATGGGATGGCATTGGAAACCAATTTCTAAGGCCTAAAATTTCTTTATAAAATATAAACCAAGTTGATACACAAAGCCAAAATATACTATTGGTTCCTAAATATTTTTAAGTACAAGATTCCTTTTAGAATCACAGAAAAGTTTCTCTTGACCTGACCCCACAAGATCACATGTTTTTAGTATTCCTTTGATAGAGAAAACGTAGCACCATAATTAAAAACAAAACAAAAGAAAAACAAAAACCCAACAAGATATCAATACTTCATATCACTGTTAAATAAATTTGTATTTTATTAGACACATCAGCACCAAAATAAACTAATAAATCGTAAAATGTGTAAGACATACTGAGATCAGACTATAGTCAATGCTCACAGAGTACAATGAGCATTCGATATTTCCCTACAGTAACTCCCAGCTAGTTTACAGACTGCCTAGAATATAAATTTCACACAGAGCATGTACAGAATACTTAGTAGTTGACAGGCAAGAGCAAGATGGTAGATGACTAAGTTCTAAGGTTCTTTACTTCCCTAAAGTCTTTAGCAAATTGTGATTTTGCTGTACACTTATCTACCTAACAGGTCTGAAACCTGAAAACAACCTGGGAAAGGAGGTCTTCTATTTACATTTCACAAAAATAAAACTAAGAATCCGAGAACTTGAAGGATTTAGCCAAACAGACTGGATTAAATCACTAAGAACTGTATTTTTATATACAGAGCCCAATTCCCTTTACCACCCTGTCTGTAATGGAAGACAGATAGTTGATATGTTATCTAGTGTTGTTGGCTGTTCTATCTTCTACTCATACATCCAGAACCACTCCATCCTTTCCCACTTCACTTTGTGTCCTGGCTCCCTTACCCTCCTCTTCTCATGGAAGTGTTCAAAGGGAGATGTAGAGGGCAGAAGGGAGAATTCTCAGGCTAGTTCTTCCTCTGACATTTTTACTACAAAATTCCTCTCCTAAAACCCATAGCTTCTGCCACTGGCCTATCTTACTTCCTCTTCCCCTTCAGGCCTATCTCTAGGGTACCAAACCACCTTGATTTTCCTTTATCCTGACCACACTTCTGTAATTACTGTCAACTGGAGTGTGACATCTGCTTCCTATCAGAACCCTATCTAATACACTGATCTAGGATATAATGGAGGACACTGTGGATTTAACTAGAGTAGAAAATGATTCATATTCTCTCTTAATTATTGGACACAAATGAGAACTAAATTATGTTGGCCTATTTTCCCACATCTTACCCACCCCTGTATTGAAACCTCACTCTTGAAGTAGCCTAGAAGCATTTAACATTTTTTGACCTAAGTCACTGAGGAATCAAATAAAACCCTCCTCTGTCAAGTAAAAACTTTAGGCTAGTTCCCCAACCCAAAAGTTTAACTGACAACACAAGATGGCACTTGTTCAGCCCTGAGAGCATTAATTAATTAATTAATTAATTAAATTCTTTTAAAGAACTACTAAATTCTGCCTACTTGTGATCTCTGTCTGTCAAATATATAAATAAAATATTTTTTAAAAAAAAGTGGGGGGTGAACCTGGGTGGCTCAGTGAGTTAAAGCCTCTGCCTTTGGCTCGGGTCATGATCCCAGGGTCCTGGGATCGAGCCTCACATCAGGATCTGTGCTCGGCGGGGAGCCTGCTTCCTCCTCTCTCTCTCTGCCTACCTCTCTGCCTACTTGTGATCTCTGTCTGTCAAATAAATAAATAAAATCTTAAAAAAAAAAAAAAGGACTACTAAATTGATTTTTCTCAATGGGTTTGTTTTTGGTTATTTTGTAGATTGATCCATTTCCTAGAATTAAAATATATGTAGTAATAAGACAACCACATAGTGGTAGCTCTCCTTTGGTACTCATGGATTGAAAAAATGTACATAATAATAAAAAAGCTTCATCAATATTAAAACACCTTAAAATAAGGTTGAGCATTCGATATTTCGAATTATATTCAACCCAATATACCTTTGGTAAAGTATTGAGGAGTTTGACATGCCTATTGTCTACAGAAAATGCTATAAAACCATTCAGATTTGCCAACCCCTATCCTAACTCCAAAGCTACCCAGGAGCTGATGACTCAAACATTAGGTAACACTGAATTAGAGTTTCAACTGTTTTACAAGCCCCATCCCATCTCACCTTCCAAAATAGAAAATGCTTCTGGAGCAGGCCACGTGGTTAGCACTTCCCTAAACAATAGAAGAATTATTAACAGTAGAGCCACTTTTAGATCACAGTAACCAGAGCCATTGAACTTCCACTAGACATGACCTTGCCCACTCAGGGAGGAATTTAGGATGACACTATGGGTGAGCTCTCAAG